GTTATTATTTTTATTTATAATTTTAATAATTGTATTGCGATTATATTTGACTAAGCTTAAATAATGGTTACATTCATTTTTTTAATAAAATATAATGATAACTATAAATTGATTAGAAGAGTACAAGAACAAATTAATTAAATAGATGAGTGTTAGGTTAAATGAATTGAGTAAATGCGTTAGTAGATAATTAGATGTGGGTTAGTTTGAAATTAGTCGGCTAGGTCATTTGTGGATCAAGTTTGGATGAGTGCATTTCTATTTCGCTGAATTGGGCCGTAAATATAAAATATAAGGGTAATGATATATACACTTCCTCTATATTTCCTTTTTTTTTTATATTAAATATTTAGAATTTTTTTATTTTTAAAATTTTTAATTTTACATTTCTAATTTTCAATTTACTATTTTTTTTTTCACACACCTCCTTCTTTCTTTTTTCTAATTTTTACATGCACCATCTTGTCTTCCTTTAATTCCTCATGTATTTTAGTAGGTAGTTTTAGTTATCTCAATTTTTATATTATTCTCTTATTTTCTCATCTCTTTCACTTTTTCATATACACCAAATCATAGAACTGGTAGACAACAATATTGTATAGGTACGTGTAGCTTCCTCGACAATTTCTATCAAACTAGACACATTTTTTCTTTCAACACTTCCTTTCCTTTCACCCCTTTAAAAACCTTAACATTAAGTTTAGTGTTATGAAAAAGACATTTTCATTATTTTAGAGTACTATATGAATGGTGAAATCAGTGAGAAAACTAAAAGAGGAAGGAAAAAAAATAATGTAAAACTAAAAGAATTAAAATTATTTACCAAAATAGGTGGGAGTGAAGAAAAATTAAGGGGGTGCTTGTGAAAATAAGGGAAAAAAGTATGTAAAAAAAGTGTTAAATTAAATGTTAGGAGTGTAAAATTAAAAAATTAAAAATAATAAAAATTAAGGATATTTTAAGAATTTAATTATTTTTTTTAAAAAAGAAGGTAGCATACTTATAAAAAAAAAAGGAGGTGTATATATCTTGATCCAAAACATAATCCTAAGTTGCCATCAACCTCATATTTTATTTTTATAAATGATATTTACGCCTCTCTTATTAATAAATATAATAAATACATCCTCTCTCTCTTTTTTTTTTATTAATATTTTTCTAAATAGATTTATAATTTATTGCCTTTTCTTAATCAACATTTTTCTCTAAAAGATTCTTTGATTTAAATATGTTTTTAGTCTCTCAAATTTAAGATAAATTTATTTTTGGTTTCTTAAATTTAAAATCATTATTTTTAGTCCCTGTAATTTTTAATAATCTTATTTTAGTCTCTCAGATCACCGATAATATATATGAAAATAACAAATTAAGACGGTTATACAATATCAATTAAATTTAATGTGATATTTTTACTAACAGGAATACCAATAAGTAGATTTTAGGCAATAATATTTGATAAATTTCTTAACAAAATTTGAATATAAGGACTAAAATAAGATTTTTTGAAACTACAGGGACTAAAAACATCGATTTTAAATTTGAAGGACTAAAAATAAATTTACCCTAAATTTAAGAGACTAAAAACATATTTAAGCCAGATTCTTTTATACTTACTCTTTCTTTCTCTACCCTTTTCCTCGACTACAATGTTTATCTCTAGCCATTTTTGTTGATTTCTCTTTTATGTTTTTTTTTCTTCTTCATTTGATTTTTTTAACAACCTAGAGACAATCACCCGTACCTCATCTTCATCATTATTTAAAGTCTATTTTCACACTTTCATAATCTTCATCTCTAAATCCAATTACTATATCTCATCTTCATTATTTTAAAATTCTTTTACATCACTTTCCTCCTCCTTTTTTTTTCTTCTTTAAAATCGATTATTTGATACTACAAAATCCGATTTTGATTCGGTTGATGTTGTATTTTATATGTGCCCCTTCTAGTATAGGGTTTCCTTTGTATGAAATTATGAATGAATTGTATGCATTTCATTAACAAGATTGTAGTACAGGTGAAACATACATGACACTTGAAACTAATATAATAATTACAACCTACTAATCTAAATTCACTCTTATCTTCCCAAAAAGTCCCTCGACCACGCCAATTTAGGGCCAAAGAAAATACCTCTTAATTTAGCTTCAATATCAGAACATCCCTCAAAGTTTACTCCAAAACCACAAATAATTAAAAGCTCCTGTATGGTCCCTTACAACACCTCCACATGCTGCCTTACGTACTACCACTCTCAATAACTGCACCATAACAACGAAACATGATTATTATTATGTAAAATCCTAACATCATTTAACGGTTTCAACAACTGTCCTTGAATAATAGGTAATGGGTTTTGTTTTGGTCATTGAATAATGGGTTCCATGAAAAGAAAAGAAGGAGCCTTTTCCCAATATCCCCTCAGTTACGTCCTAACTGATTTAGTATAGTATATTTAAAATCAATAACACGCTTAATTGTTTTACGGTTGTCTAAAGGATGTTCGAACGATCTTTCTAAAACCGAGAATGCCATCTTGGTTTAGCAGAACATTATTGTAGATAATCAATCACTTTCCATTTGAATTGTATACTCAGAAATCTTTTGTTAAATGTCACCTGCTAAATTTAGTGAAAGAATTAGATAGCTTTTATTTCTAGCAATTAAACTTATAATAGATTCACCTCCACGGCAAGATTTTAGGAGTGTTTTTATTGTCATGATCTCTTTCATTTTTTTTTCCTTCTTAAATGCGTGAATCTTATTTGTCCTTTTCTTTCTTGTTTTGCAGAGAAGACCTAGAACAAAATGAACCAGTTTTGCGCTACTCAAGAAGAGTAATGTTACTCCTAATACTGATAGTATAGTAAAGGTAGTATCACAGAATTGTTTGCCTAAGAATAGGTAAATGGAGAACTTCCCAGATGAAGTTGAGAATGTTGAATGGTCAGGTTTGTCTCTTCTCTAGAATATTCCATTCTAACTCTTGAAGATTTTGAAAACATTATGCTTACACCAAATTTTGTCCATGTTGACAATTGAGAGATCACTGTTGAAGTAAAAGACATCTACACATGTAGTCAAGGGCTTATTGGCTTAATTTTTATCGCCATATGCTATCTGATTAAAGTATTTTAATTTATATTATATGATATTAAGTGAAGATGCATTTCGTGTTTCTAATTATATTTATAAAAACAAACATAATAGTCTAAATAATTGTTTATAAATTTTTTTTTATTTTTATTAATTGAGAGTGAATACAGGACGACGGGATAGGATATTATATTTTAAATTGAATCCAAACACAAACTCAATTTTTAAAATTGGAAAAAATCCATGCCTAACTCTTATCTTGTTAAAATGGGTTTTACTCTCGAAAGAGTCAACTCAAATGAGTATATATGGGTTGTGCAACACGTACCTAAAGAGGGGAGATCAAAATTCTCGTTTAATTAATTTGCGCTAAAATGGACCAACATGAGGTATAAAATTATATTGTTAAAAATATTTAATTTAAGAATTTTAGTTTAAATATATTTTTATTTCTTATAAAATAAATAAAATTTTCTTTTAGCCTCTTTTAAATTTCTTCTTTATTTTTATTTTTTTAAAAATTAGTAAACATTTTTTTAATATAAAATGAACAAATTTTGATTTTAATTTCAATATTATTTTTTATTTTCATCCTCTAAAAATTAAAATCATTATTTTTTTTATCTCTAATGATCATTTTAAAGTACATATAAAATTTAAAAGTATCACATGTTGATAAAATATCATGTACATGCAATTACAGTCACTTTGAATAATTAATCACATAATCATATAATAAACACATATGTAATAAAAAAAAATCACATAATAATAAGGGTTAAAATAATAGTTTCAAATTTTAAATGAAATAAAAAAGCAAATAATTTTTTTATAGGAACAACCAAAATCAAGTTCATTTTTATAATAATTAAAAAATATTTAAATTTTTATTTAATTATAAAAATTGTCTTTATCTCTTGGTTGACTAATATATGGATTTCTAGCATTTTTTTTTAAATATTTTAATTTTTGTTTAATTAATTATCTAGCAATATATAGTTTTTAATTAAAAGTAATTAGTAATTATTATATTTATCTTAAGTTCATTAATTGCATGGCTGAAATTTAATGACTAGGTGGGCACTTTCAAACCCACAGTAAATGTTATATATTTAATATTTATAATAATTTATTTTAATTTTAATAAGTTTTAATTATTTTTGGTCAATGTTAACTGTTAAGTAAAAAAGCTTTTAATTATTCAAAATGAATTCTAATTGATAAATATGTGTTTGTGTTGGTAATTCACGTCCAGGTACAATATTATCATTAAAAAATATTGTTTATTATTTATTAAATATATAATGATTTATACATTGCTGTTAAATTTTTTTTGAAATAAATCAATTTCAGTTCAAATAATTAATAATTTATAATTTTTAGAATTTAATTCTAAATAATTTTTTCTAGTCAAAATCACCACACCAATAATTTTTTTTTTCATAATTTTTATGTGTTAAAATATCTCGAATCGAGTTTCACGGTCAATCAATGAATTTTTGATCATTTTGCACTAAATATTCAAGAAATTTTATAAAAAAAAAAAAGAAAACATTATAATATTTTAACCCTCGATCACCTGTAGATTAAAAGATAAATAAGAAATTTAGAATTTTATCAGAAATCCCATCTGTTACAGAAAAACAAGTCCCTACCAATGAGGAATGTTAAGAAAAGCACAACTAATAAACTAAAACTGTTTGTTTGTTTTTATGACTGCCATTTAACAAATCAGTTTATATAAGTGTATGAGTACACTGTGTGATTATAATTTGACAAAGACCTATCATAGTGAGCACAAACATAAAATGCAGATTCAATTGGTTGCATAAACGCCAACACAGGCATATATATATTGAATTAATCTCTTATGCATTATATATTGTAGAACTTTGTGATCCAATAATAAAAATCTCAAAACAATATCATATATATTAGTCTAAATGCCCCTTTAGAGAGGGACTTTAGCATCTCTAAATGGAGGCAATGATGTCTCTTTCTCATTACCAATAATGAAGTTCTCCATTAACAATTGACGTTGCATAGGGTTAGGGATCAAATCTGGTTCTTGGTCATAATTCAGTGGAGTCATTTCTTCAGGCTTCACTGTTTGTGTTGGTTCTTGTGTCTGGTGTTGTTTTGATGTTGCTTCAGTCTGGGGATGAGGATGGTTTGTTGTTGCTTGCATCTTGGGTTGGTGTGGTGGCATCTCATTAACATTCAATGTTTCCAACTTTCTATTAATCTCCTTCAGCTTCTTGTCAATCACTGCTGAAAGATTAACAAAATCAGTTGCCATCATGTAATTATCAGGATCAATCTTCCCAGATTTAAGGCACTGATGCATCAACATGTTCATCTCCTTTTCCTTATTCTCCTTGGCAAGTTTCTTCACCTTCTCTCTTCCCTTTACAATGTTTTGTTCAATGAAACCCTCTTGGTCCAGCATCTTCCTGTTTTGTTCCCATTCAGTCATAGTCCTGAATTTCCCCAGAACATTCTGAACACCTGATTCAGATGGCCAAATCTCTGGCGCCTCTACAAAGGGGCCATAAATTATAGCACATGATTCAATACCACAGTAGGTACTAAGTTCCTCAATCTTTTTCAGAATTCCCTTCTTCCTTTGCTTGTATGTTGCCTTCCTTGCGGCATCATTTGTTATGAAGGCGAGTTTCACCTTTGTCTTTGGCATGATTGAGACCAGAAAACAAAAGGAGAGAAACAAAATGAGAAGGGTTGTTGCTTGTGGTTTTTACGCCCCACCAACAGTCTCTTTATATAGACTAATTTAATACATAGCTGGTTTAATTTTTCAAAAACCATTATCCTGTTTTGTGAGTAAGTGTCAACTGGTTTTGCACATTCAAATGTCACATTAAATGTCATTCCATACACAAAGGATATAGAGAATCCGTACTTTAATAATATATTTATTAAGCTGTAAAATATACATTATGGATTAGTTAGTAAATTACTACATTGATTTGAGTTGATGCTAAGACTCCAGTAAATTTTTTATCATACATACATACATAGTTAAAATTTTTAATATAATTTTAACGGCTCCTTCCAAAACGAAATAAATAGTATTTTCACTGTTGTCATTTTGAAGTGACAACTGGTTTTGTATATTTAAATATCAATTTAAAAGAATAAGTGTCATTTATATATGAATAATGTAGATCAGAATATCTTCTGCCAAAATAATAGAGAATATATTAAGTAAAAAAAAATATAGAAAATATCTAGTACTAAAAAAAAATAAAAATATATATATATATATATATATATAATATAATATAATTCTCATATTTAATTTCAATTATAAATAGATAAGTTCTAATGTTTAATTGCATTTTTGACTGTTGTCATTAGAGTGAGATTCTTCATTATCAAATTTATAGTGTAAATTGGTAAAAGATACATTGTGAGACCATTTCAAGAAACATATTTTAAGAATTTTTTTATTTCTTATTATATATAATGAATGTATAAATGCGAGAGAATTTACCATAGCACTTACGAAAAAATTTGTGAACTTATGATGTCTTATAAATTAGAAAACAGTAAATGAAAATAATAAATCCATGTTATGAAATTACATTAAAAGACATAATATTTCTTTAGTGCTAAAAAAAATATAGCGAAAGGAAAACTTTTTTTTCTTCTAAAAAGGAATCAAACTCTCGCAATTAAAAGTGAATCTGAAAAGATAAAAAAAAAATAGTTCCGATAGATTACAATATTTATATATAATGTTTTGGAAAAGCTAAAATTTTCTATTTAATTCAATCGATTCCAATTGATTACATAGTGTATTTTAAAAATACAAGATTTCCAAAATTTTCTATTTTAATTGATTACCTTGCTTTAATCGATTGTACAAAATAGAATAAAAAAAATTAATTGCACAAGTTATTTTTGAACCTTCAATTTTCCAAAAAAAAATTAATTTAGTTGATTAATTTCACTCACTAACTAAACCTATAACGTTCAAGAGGGCTTTAATTGATTAGATGGTGAATAAATTCATTACATCAATTATCAAATGCTTTATAATAAACTTTCTTATGTACAAAAGCAATTTCAAGTATATCGTGATACATAAAGTTTAGTCGTGGTTTAAATATTTGTACCGATACTCCATCATTAACTCAAGATAGTCATTGTCACTCCACTATTAACTAATGATATTGGAACACACCTCTTATCTTCTATGTTAATAAGAAGACTTTACATACATGAATTTACAGTGGTCATGGTTGAAAATGGATAAGGATTTTCCATTCAACTATGTGCAATGGGAGTCAGCACCACCAGGAGTATGCATTACAGAAGATGAAGGATAAAGATTGGAAGACTTACAAGGGAACACCAGGGATGACACAAGAGGTAATAGTAATCTGAGTGGTTGAGTGGAAAAAAAGGTTCTATACAGGACATTAAATGCTTGGTAGAAAACAAATGAGAGTGAATGTCAACTACTCTTATCTTAAGGGCGAATTCGGGATTCACTGTTTTGCTTTGCAATGTTGGGTCAAATTACTTTTAGGTGAGATACTAAGATTTTGTTTGGTTAGTTCGTAATTTGGATAATTAATCTAAATTACCACTAACCAATACCTTGTAAATATGAGATTATGGCACCCCTAGTGCCACAATATAATTTTATTTGGCCGTTTCAAAAAAAAAAACATGAATTCACAGTTAAGAAGATTTTTAATACAATTAGGGATCCTATACTTATTTGAGTTTGTCAACTAATTGAATCATTCACTCTCTATATCGTTATTGTATATCTTATTTGATTCAAAAAAAATTTATATATAACTATTTTTTCTAGAGTTAGTGAATTGATTACCTCTCTCTATATATATATATTATGATACTTGGAACATAAAACAGGTTTTTAATTTCATAAAGAAAATCAAGTGTATCTAATCTTATCATCAACAGTTGTTAGATAATATCTATGACCAAGCATCGAATGATGAGAGAAAGACCCCGAATGTCCATATGCAAGAGGTCAAAACATTGAGAAGAAATAGTAAAACTATTTGGAAAAGGAAGTCTTCTTTGTTAGGATAAATATCACACGGATCATCAGATTTGTTATAGTCAACAAAAGGAAAAGTTCTATGCAAATGAACAAGTTTGTCATTTGAGGCATGCCCTAACCTGTAGTGCCAAAGATCACTCTTATTGATTTGCATTGAATTTACATAATGAAATGTTGGTTTCTGTGCAAGAGGCGAAGTCCAACCGTATAAACCATTTTGCAGCTCAGCTGCACCAATCTTTTTCAAGCTATCCTTCTCCTGTATGATACAACCATTTTTATTAAAGATGAATTCACATAGCAATGAATTGGTTGCCTTTGAAATGGAAATGAGGTTTAGAGAAAAAGATGGAATGAAAACAACATCTGTTAGGTAAAAACGATTTAAAATTGATGGCAAGTGCCTGCCAAAGAGGTAGTGATATAACAACCATTTGGTAATTTAACACTAACTGGTTTAATTTTTATAAGGCATAGAAAATAGGATCTAGTATGGCAAACATGGTATGAGGCTCGAATCTAGAATCCAAGAATGTATTTCATCATTTGAAGAGGTCACGCAGATAATGCCTGGGTTTGGATGGTGAGATTAAGTCCACTATTTCCGGTGGCATCATCAATGTCCTTTCCATAGTTAGATTTTACCTCATCTTCAATGGTGAAACGTTACAATGATGTCTTTGCGAGAGTTATAACCATCGTAATGTAGACCATATAACTGTTGTAAAATCGTTATTTTCTTGTAGTGTTTGGACAATTATTGGTTACTCCTATTTTTCTAAACAATGGTGAATAGCCATGTTTCTTAAAACATGTATCAGCCACGTGTTATATATAGTTTATTATAATATGAACAGACTTTCACATTCTTTTCTCTACCTCCATAATATCTCCCTCCATTGTTATTTCCTTGTCCCCGAGCACCTCTTCCTCTAGATGTAGCTCTTCCTCTGTCAATAGAGGGATTGTAACTAGCCATGATTTGATATTCATTCACTTGAGTATTTAATTCTCTTTACTGTTGAGTCAAAAGAGAAAATACAGTGCTGATGTTTAGGAGAGGGTTCATGAGCATAATTTGATATCTTAATGCAGCATATTGTTTATTCAAAACACGCAAAAATCTAAACACATAATCTCCCTCTCTATACTTCATCGTGGGGATCAATTGGCAAGTGCACTTAACAGCAAAAGGGCATTGGGAAATAGGCCTGAAATTATCTAGTTCTTCCCATAATTTCTTCATTTTAGAGAAGTAGGTATTGATGGTGAAATCACCTTTCCGAAGTGAGTAGATCTCTTCCTGTAAATCACATATTCAAAATACATCACCTTTGATAAAAGTATGATGATTTCTGAATCTAGTGAATGATGCAGCTAAGATATCACCGAAGTGTTGCACCTATCCCATGCTTTATAATTTTGATCTCCCCATGTTTTGGTTGAGGTAAAGTTTTGTCAACATAGCATAACTTGTTTTTTCTTGTCTTTAGAGCAAGCTTATAAACTTTAATTATGTGAAAATTTGATTGTATGCTCAAAATGTTATTGAGAAAGGTTATTGGAAACATTTAAAAAAAAAAAAAAAAGAGCTTTGTGAGTACTTAAACATTTGGTGAATTCAAATTAAATTAGAGGATTAAAAAAATGATTTTCGACTAAAGTCAAAAGCTTTGATCTGAGATTGGGTGTGTTGTCCATGGAAGGGTTCTTATTGGATGAATAGAGGCTATTCTATTTCCGTTGGTAAATAAAAGTTTGTCCAAGAGAAAATCTTGGAGTAATCAAAGGGTTTGTATAAACATTGTTTTCGTTTAAAATATTAGTGGTATTGACTGGTAAATGAATGTAACAACTCTTATGTGGTGTGAGTGAATCAATATAAAACTTGCGCTCTTCTTTTCTTTCTTTTTAATTTGGAATTGAGTATATAGAATTGATCATAATTCATAATTTATTATTCATATTTACGAAAATTATATTTCTTTTGTAATTGGTTTTCTAATTTGTCTAAATTAATTAATTTCATATAAAGAGTATCATTAAATTTTCAAAGATCTAAGAGAAACATTTTTTTTTAAAGTATCCAGTTCACCTTATAAGTACCAGGCTTGAATATAATCTTTAATAGCTCTTGCAACTAAAAAAAATGGAATATTTTGCAGTTAAGCATTAAGTTTTCCATTATCAATAGGAGCTACAATAAGATATTTAAGTGGAACAATTACAACACTTAATTTGTAAGCAAAAGGCAACGAAGGCAAAGTGATAAAACTATGAAAAGAAACAAACTTCTTAGATATCTAGAACAAAATTAATGTTTGGTTAAATACTTTGTGATTACATTTTACCAAGTCGTTGATCAAAAGTAGTACTAAATTTAGTCTTGGATTCAAATTTTGTATATGAAAAAAAATGTAATTGGAATGAGAGATTTCACTAAAGGTGAGTCAATCAAGTTCTTTGACAAAAATTAGTCATTAGAAAAATTGATGAATACTTCGTACCAATAACATAATTATAAAAATAATAAATAAATTTTATCTCTCTAATAGATAATTTTTTTTATGTATTATTCTTTATTATGTTAAATTTTAACGTATGTGTGTGCACGTGTACATAAACAAAAAGGGGATAAATAAAATCTTTTTATGAAGCAAGA